TTGAAAATTAAGACTTAAAACAAATTTTATTTACCCTACACTAGCTAGGAAGCTTATGTCTGATTAAGGAGTCTAAATGACAGACCTTCCTTTATTTATGGCTAGATCTTGGCCTCCTTAAGCATTAATTGTTAACATACTCTGATTTTTAATTCCGTAGAATTCTGACATTTCAAAAGTGTTGCTACTAAAAAAGTTTTCCAACGAAAAAGGGACAAATTTGACTTATTTGAGGGCAATAAAAAAATGCTACGTATTTTTTATGTTTTACCTACAAATAAATGTGAGCCGTCACGGGACGCCTGGCAGATGTGAAACATCGACATTATTTTATAAAAGTAATATGAAAAGAACAGATTGTGATAGGAACTAAATATGTCATAATGATAAAATAAAATAATATGATTTCTTTTCCAGATAACGACTATTGATTTGACTATTTATTGAATAAACATTTATTTTCATTAAATACAAAAATTTACGAATTTATTTCAAATCGTGACTACTTAATTCGTTTAATCAGTGACTTCGAAATACACACACCGTACACACTACTGCATATAGACTGTATCCATCGTAATCGACTGTAATATATCGAATAAACTTTAATTACTTTATTTTATTCTTTAGCTGGCATCACTGCCTACTAATTCCAGGTTTAGTAAGCCTTTTTAAAATAAAATGTTATCTTCACTTGTGCGTTTTTTACTGTTTGTGATGAAAAGGAACGTCTTTAGCCGTTAAATCACTTTTAATGTGGAGCAGCGCACTTAATAAAATTGATACATTAACTAACAATAAAATGTATGAATAGGCTCAGAATAATATTGAAATTGAAAAATGTGTCCGGCCAAAAAGGTTTGCCATCACTGACATGTCAAAAAATTATAGCTGTTAGAATTCTACGGATTTAAAAATCAGAGTATAATAAAATATTTTATCTGTAATAAAAGATTGAAGATTGTTTTGAGGAAGAACTCGTGCTGCTCTTACCTAAATAGAAGTCAATCTGGCTAAACACTAACTAGCTGGACATGGCCAATGTCTAAGCTTTGATTGCATGCGCGGATTGTAGAGGTCGCTACAACGTATTCCATTTGTAATTATTCTCATTACTAGAATATTTATTGCTACATGAATACAATATACGAGTATTAACGAATGTATTTCATACACATTGGTACTATATCCATGGAAATACCTTTTAAATTAATTAATATTATGACCATTTATAGGAAATTGAGGCTATTTTTCAAACAACTTTATTCTGTTATATTGGGGGTGGACTATTTATATGTTTCCCAAGTATCACGAAACTAGCTTTTATATGTTAAATATGTTTTTTCTTTCAGAAACACGTGGGATATGTGAAGGCATACTTCGTTTATGGTGTGGTAAAACTTATTATTGGTTCCATCGCCCTAATTGGTGTCTTCACAAATGCAAGTGATTATCCAAATTTTATGGGAATTGTTTGGTTTTATGGTGAGTATTTAGCGCAAACAAATAATTATATTTTTACAAAGCAAGCGTGTAGATTTTAGTGGATGTTACAAATGATACTATTATAGTTAATAGTGAAAGGGCTAGTTGATCTGGTTCTTAAGGAAGGAAATTAAACACTCCAATGATGACTTGATTGTGACAGTCGATCGATCTCCTATCTGCATCCCAATAACCAAACCTTAGAGCGTTTGTAGACGTCCGTTTTTTTCACCGGATAACGGACCGTGTTTTTTGCCGGATTGGCGGTGGTGTATGAATTATAATGAATGTGTGTACATGCACCGGACATCGTCCGGCGAACAATTTACGCCGGATGCACCACCGCTTCCCCACGGACACCGGTCCGGTGTAAGAAAGGGCGGTCATCCACGCCAGTGTATTGGTGCGTGTTGACGCTGCCGGACGCATTGCCTGTTTTCTGTGAATTGAGTGCCATCCGTCCGTTATCCGGTGAAAAAAACGGACGTCTACAAGCGCTCTTACGAAGACAATCCATTTTTGGTGACGGATAAAATGTTCTTTGTCGTTCCATTTTAATGAGTTTTCACTCATATTTGATAATCAATGTAAACCAAATAAAGTAAATAAACCGTCCAAATAACATTAAAATGTACATGTGTATGTTTAAAACATGGAAAGTATTTTTTTTTTAATTATTTAAAAAACTGGTGTAAGTTAATATCTGTTAAAATAATTGACTGTTGAAATCGAGCTTTCGTCAACTGTCATTTTCATACAAAGGTCTATCCATAGACACCGATACAACCTCCCATGGATAGCTAGTATGACAGATGGCTATTACAATCCGTCGATTGGTTATTGGACCACTTGTTACAACATTTGGATCAAGATTACTATCGCAGTTGGTGGATTATGGATTGAGATAGGTTATTGGGTTCGGGCGTAAGTCGCGGCCTAAATACTCAACCTCTTGATTGCCCACCCGTAACCACACGGCTACCATTAAACTATTAGCGTACATATAAATATAATATATGCAATTTTACTTTCAGCGTTCCACTGTTTGGTACTGCTGATGGTTCGCAACACGTACTTGAAGTTCGACGAGGGTTCAATTATCCACCAATATATGCACAAGCCCCTTGTTTAAGGATGGTTTCATATTTTTTTCACCTTTTTATATTTTTAATTATTTTTTCAACTTATTATAAATAGGGTAGTACTTTTAAATTTTTTAAAATTATGCCCGTAAGGCCATTTTTCAACATCATTAATACTAGGCCGGCAACGCATTCGCGAGCCATCTGGCATTGAGTGTCCATTGGCGTTTGGCCGCCCGTTTGCCCCGTTCTATAAAAAAAGCATCTGTAATTGCCAAGACTCGTTAGGTATTAAAACGAGCCGTTTTTTTGAATTTTTAATTTACAAGCCTTTGGATATTATACTAAGACATCTAGATTTGTAATTTTAACATTGTTTATGTATGTGTGCGTATGTGACGTCATGTCATCAACTATTTGCCATATAAATTGTATTAAGTTTGGAGTGCGAATTGTGTGTATGTGCGTTGTACTGCAAAAACATAATACAGATTTTCCCAGCTTCAGTTCCAGCTTTAGGTATTGAAATATATTTTAAAAAAGACATCCGTAATATTTATACAGTTAATAGTCAATCTCAATTATAAAATTCCTTGTTCAACGTTATTAATACAAATCTTAATTGAAAGGATTTTCGTTCTATGAGCTCTAAAAACCTAAGGATAATATAAACTAACTCTAGCTTTAACTGCGATACACATATGGAGATTTTTAATAATTTTTAAAAGACCATGAAGAACGGGTTTTCCAACGTCTTGAGAAATTTGGATTTGGGCACCTCTACCTATAAGTTAATTGAAGAAAAGGCTTTTTAATTTACCGCCTAAGTTATGTACAACGAACATACAATTAAACCTGTTTTTATATTTCTAATTGAGCGATAAGAACTAGCTCTCAGAATTAATTTAATTGATTGAATTGAATAGGTTACTATTATAAGGAAACAATGTATGTTATATTGAATAAAGAGACTCCATATATTAGTACAGTAGTGTTGTTTTCCTTATTCCCTAACCAAACAATAAAAGCTTTATACTTAATTTTAGGTTTGCTCTATATACATTATACAATGTATATTATACATATAAAATATAATTAATTAGTATCCGAGTCGCCATTCTAGCGAGTTGTGGGCAGCTAGTGTGTTCCTCATGACTGAAGCATATAAAATAACAGAAACACATAAAGGCAAGGAGTGAATCTTTATCAATTTACTATTTTTGTAAAGTAAGGAAAAGTTTGGTTTGAACAAATGAAAGATTTTGCTAGTTCTTGAGAATCGAACGTGAGCTTTTTGGTTTTTATGAGAAGAGAAGAAGTGTTGATGAAAGTAATTTTATGTTGGTTATAGTAGATGTTTTATATAAATATTTTTAAGAGTTGTATGTTAGGCGTATAGGTCGGTTATTGAAAGCTGGCGCGTTCACAGTACTCATACTAATGCAATTTCACTATACATTGTGTTTAAAAATATGACTTTTTTGCCAAGCTATATTTAGTCTACTCTGGTTTTAGTAAGGTTGGGTGGGTTGTAAATAAATAAAAATGTGTCAAATACATATAAATATTATGTGCATACAAGGATGGATCCAAAAGTTCTAAGCCCGACCAAGAACGAAAAAGAGTAGTTTGTGTAAAGAATTTTTCATTTTTCGACATAAGCTCCATCTAGCTCAACACACTTCACTTTTACTTCACTAACAATTCTTTCAATACTCCTCTTAGAAACACCAGTCGCATCTAATGTCAAATTTAAAATTACATTTTTTCATTAAACTGTTTTTATTAAGATGCTTAAAATAATTAAAAACATTGTACACCATTTAGATAACATACCAATATACAGTATTTACAATTTTCTTAACCTACAAAGTGATAATAAAAATTATTAAAAAGTAAATCAAAACAAATTTAAAAAGTTTGGTCCCTGTGGCAGTGTACCTTTAACGCTGGCAGCATTTCCTCGCTGCATTGCTATACTTATTCGTTGAGCCAGGAAAGTGCCAGCTCTAGGGTCACTTTTGGATCCATCCTTGTATGCACATAATATTTATATGTATTTGACACACATTTTTATTTATTTACAACCCACTCATCACACTGCTCCATCATAGCCTTGCCCCACACATTTTTTGATGATTCTTTGCGAATTTAATTTTCAAGTTCCTTGTCGATAGTATTAGTATAGTTTTTTTCCAAAATCCATACACAGCACATGCTTCCGAATGGCCACTCGAACAACTGTGTTGTTAAATTCTTTCTGATAAATGCTTCCAATCTCGAATTCCCGTACACCAAAAATTATTCCTTTGTGAAGCAAATAACCAGCAGGGTTGACAATAGACAGCGTCTAGTGTTTGTGAATAACACAACCAAAAACGATTAACTGGCCCATATTTAGAACTCGAAACGTAGTACGATTTTGAAAAACACCTATTGTTCTGGTTGATGTTTGTTGGAAAAGGTCCTGAAGGCTGTAAAGGCCTTGATATGGATTTGACGTTTTTCGTTATCACTTAATATTTGGTTCGGGAAAATTCCCAAGTCATAAAAAGATTTGTCGTACACATTTTCGAAAAATGTAGTTGTCTGTGGTTCCTCCAAACTCTCCGCTTTTATGTGTGTCACGCAAACATCATCCACGTTCAAATGATCGGCGGCGGAGGTATCTCCAACTGCAATAATTGTCGAATCTTCTTCAGTAGGCTTTTTAACCAACACTCCAGTTACCACATTATTTGAGTCACTATCAATAGAAATATTTTGGCTAGATGTACTTGCAGAAGACTGACTAAAAAACTTGTAAATTTTGGACAATTTTTGTTTACTATCTTCTCTTTCTAGGCGTTGTTTGCGTTAAAATGCACCACTGGCTTTCTTCTTTCTATCCATAAATTTAGTTTTATAATTTATTTAAACAATACAATATTAGATTGTACTCGAGTAGGTAAGTACTCACTGTTCACTGACGACGTTAAAAGTAAAATAAAAGGAAAGAGAAACACAATGATACGCTACAAGTGTCGTTAGGGAATCCTCGGTTAAAAAATTATCACCGTTAGTGTTACAACATTTAACAGTGGAGTATCTCCTGCCCGCGGACCTGACTTAATGTACCTACTGAAGGTGACTTGCATTTTTTCACGATATTTCGCGTTCTATAATGAGCTGTAGCTGAAATCTATAGATTTGACACGATTTATTGAATTAACGGACATCAATATGATTGGTAAAATCAAATAAAATTGAACCACTATATTAAACCAGTACATAAAAGTTTATTGACATTAGCTTACTAACTCCTGATACAGCATTAATTTTTTAACCGTCCTCGAAGAAAAATCTTGACTAGAATTAACAATAAAACGCACATATCATTATCCGTCAAATTGACAACACTGCCAACCTACAGACAGAATTTAGGGGAATTCCCTAGGCATAACTTTTGAATTTCTCTCAACTGAGTTGTCATGATTAAAGTGGGGTTGCAATCTGTCATATTTATTTTTAAAAATGGGAGAAATTTCCAAAAGTTCAGAGATTTCTGGTAAGGATTCGAGGCCCCCCTGAGCTTGAGGGCCCCGGGGCACTGCCCCGCCTAGCCCCTCGGTAGCTACGCCACTGTTGGCTGCCCATCTGTATGATACTAAACAAAAGATAAGATAATAGAGCTTCCATGTGTCTTTTGCGGCCGACTTCGGTCGCAATATCTGCATCGGATGTAGCTAAATTAAATTCATAGTATTTATTGAGCTCCACCATATAACACAGCCTATGTGGTCTGATCGTTAACGCACTTATATTTAAATGTTCTATCTTAGTGTTTATTCTCGTAGAACGATTGTTTTAAAGAAACAAGGTAGGCACAGAAAGGTGATTTCAATTGTGGCATAAATATAAAACAGATACGCAGATCAACGAAATCATTGCAATATCAGCAAATACAAAAACTTAAAATGAGAAAAATATAAATAATAAATATCAAATAATATTAATAGAAATATTATATAAAATTTAATATAAAGAAATTGTGTATCTCGAAATTCACTCTAAAAAGCTTGCAGCATAGGATACTCAAGTCTCAACTCATATTGAGAACTACATTCAAATTTCATTCTGCCGTCTGCAATCTGAGTGCGCGCACGACGACGTACGTGATCCGTGTTTGGTATTTATATATCAGTGCAGTTTTCTGTAAGTCCCCTTTTATTGTTTTTTATTATTCGTTTTATTTAAGTACTCCACTGGCGAATGTTTTGTTATACAAAGACTGTGTAGTGACAGTGGTATTTTACTATTTAGAAAGGAATACATTGTAATTTATGTCGTCTACCCCAACATGTGTTTATTTTCTAAATTTAAAACTGAATTCAGAATTACATTATAAATTAAAAGCAAAAATCATAATTAATATCTCGTATTTAACACCAATGAATTGGCACTTGAGGTAGGGGTTTAGGTACTTTTGTATGGTTTAAAAACAAAGGTACTACATGCTAGTACTTAACTAGTAATTCAAATACATACTGTGTGTAGGTATTTTAATTAATATTTAGGCTATGCCAGCTATATTGCAAGTTGCAACGTAGGGAACTAAAAATATAATGAAGAAAAGATGTATTTAATATACTTTCAATAAACTTTATCTTAAAATAATGTAACAAATTTACTTATTAAGTGAAATAATCAGTTAATTTTGTTGATTTCAGACATATTATTGAATTGAATCTAGTTTAAAACTGTTAGTGAGTATGAAAAATGTAAATTAGAGGTGAGGCGTATATCAAATCACAGGTTTTATTACTAGGTTTCGCTTGAGACTTGTAAATACTAAGTCCCACATTTGAGCACTAAGGCTTTTCAAGAAAACCCTTGCAAGCGCTAAATAAATTATACCTTATGCGACACTACTCACGGCAGCTATTTCAATCCACAACACGAAATACTCTGAAGTCTGAAGCGAGAGACGCGTTCTTTTACTAATGTGTGAATGAAACCCTTGCAAGCGCCAAATAAATTTGCGCTACTAATTACGGCAGCTATTTCATTCCTAAATACGAAATGTGTGTTAGAGTAGGTAATACTGATATCTAGTTACGAAATAATAGACCTTATTATAAAAGTTTTAAGCATCTTTAAGCATTGACAGATTTTAGATGTATAGACAAATAGGGAAAAAAGTTCTCTTTCTCAGTTTCACACTGAAGAATGTTAATGCCCTATAGTGATAGTATTAAAAAAATTGAACAATAGTAAAAAGTTATTATAAAGTTTAAATGTGTACTCGATTAAAAATACCCATATTGTATTTTTTTATCTATGCATTGCTTTAAAAAAGGTCTTTATTTATATTAGTTTCAACATTAAATGTTCAGTGAATGTTCTGTGCTCTGTGGACCAATAGCATATTCAAAGAGTACTTAACTAATTCCTATAATTAGGTGACACAGTCGCATATTACTGAATACTCGTGGAACTAGTATTTGTAACTAGTTTTTTTAAGTACTTGAACTCCTAAGACTAGGGCTGTCTTTTACCGAGTACGACTCACCTCTAATATAGATGTAACTCTTTATCATCAATGACTTCCTTTGATAAGTTTGTAATTTGACTAAAGCATCTCATGTTTATATAAGCTGTGAATTCCAAGTAATGCTCTTGGATATTTGATACTGCATTGTAAATAATGTAACCAAATTATAAAGAATGTTTTTGGAGCGATATCTACCTCTAAGGGGTTCGCTAAAACAGCATCAATAAACAACAATTAAGCTTCAAAAATGTGTATTGTACATAAATACAGAATTAATTTTGGAAACTATAATTTTTTTATATATTCACGCTTTTTTCCCGAAGGAGTAGAAAGAGACCAGGGATCTCCACTTTCTACGGACATTCCTCTTTAGCTTTATCCACTTTATCTCACGACATTCTTTATGGGAACTATAACTTTTCATATTAAACTTCAAATATTTGAAATAACGTATGTTGTTACTTAAGTAGAGAGAATATTTATATAAATCTATAGATGGGTAACGGAGGCAAGGGTGACCTTTTAGTATAGTTAATTTTGAATCATTACTATAATAAAAAAATTTAATAAAGATATTTCTATAACTTTTCCGTACTTGTTTATTTTTGTTGTCTTTTGCGAAGTAGTATTTTAAGCGCGAACCATGGAGATTACTGTACATTCAGTTAAAACGTCTGAAATTCTTAGATCTGGATAAACAATAGCCCAAACAAGATTCTATTCATAATCATATATTTTATTGTTGCTTGTTATTAGTAGCTTCTTAAGTTTTCCAAGAACCCTTACAATGATATGTATTTACGGTTAACCAAATCCTAAAAGGTAGTATGTTTATGGGTATTTGTTCATAAACGTGTCGTTTATCGAGAACTTTCAAGTATGTTACAAGCTTTTAAGTGCCGTTTTTACTGAGCCATGTAGCACATTGGTATTTATTATACTGAATTTAAAAACTCACCTATTAGTATAGGCAATGCAATCATTATTGTTACCCTACAATCAAACTCCTTGCGTCTCATGTTGTAATGATGAAGACTCACAAGCGAATAAGAGACGTCAGGCCGTTTCTCCACTGCTCCGGTCCGGCAAACGTTAATTACCGATCCGATTTAGAAACTCACAACAGTACTTATGTACTTCTCCACTACTCCGGCATCCGGTTTTTATTCCGGTTTTTTTATCCGATAACTTGCTAGGTCGGAACGCGGTGTTTTATCGGTCCAAGTATATCCAAGTATCCAAGAGGTTATAAATTATTATTCACAGGTTTATTTATAGTTTGTTTAATTTGAAAGAATCTGGATAACCTGGACCAAACCAAATTATGTTGCTATTTATTTATATTTTTATACAATAGTATTAGTGAACTAATTATTAAGTAGATTATAATATTTTAAGATAGACAATATAAATAAAGTAATAAACTTGCCAGGGCTATAAAATATTCAGAATTTAGAACGTTTTATTAATAAAATAAAGTATATGGGTTTTTGTTAATATAGGTGTTGCATGATAAATATACAAGTATCGATTATTGTCGGATTGGATATAGTGGAGAAGCGCAATCCGGCCTTCCGATATTTTTCTCATGACTCATTCCGGTATCCGACGCCGGACCGGAGCAGTGGAGAAAGGGCCTAAGACGATAATAAAGCCATCTAGACGAATCATGTTACGATATCAACTCACACTTACCCACATAACAGAATATCTAATATATAAAATTCTCGTGTCACAATGTTCGTTCCCATACTCCTCCGAAACAGCTTGACCGATTCTTATGAAATTTTCTATGCATATTCAGTAAGTTTGAGAATCGGCTACGATCTATTTTTCAAACCCCTAAGTAATAAGGCGTGTTCACACAACAGTTTTTTTTATTTTTTAGATAAAATTATTTGTTTTCATTTTTTTATGATACAACATACAAAAATACATACAACCCCTAATTTTCACTCCTCTACAAACCCTATTTTTTATTATTTTAGATAGTTATTTTTATTAAACTAAAAAAAAATCCTAGAAATAATATACATCGCAAAACGTTTGCCGGGTAAACTAGTATGAATATATTTTTATGATTAGAGCAGTGTTGGCCTAGTAGCTATAGCATGCGACTCTCATCCCTGAGGTCGTAGGATCGATCTCCGGCAGTGCACCAATGGAGTTTCTTTCTATAAAAGTAAAGGAAAACATCACGAGGAAACCCGCAAAGTCGACAGCTTGTGTCAGGCACAGGAGGCTGATCAACTACACCTACTACGCCATCCAGTTGTTCGAGGTGTCAGGCTTTGTCATCAGATTAGATATTTTGAGCAATAGCGTGTTGAAATAGTGGAAGTATTACTATACTTTACAC